CAGCGTTGCATATCGACATATATCAAAATCGTGAAACCATAGCTTCTTCCCAAGTGTACGGTGCAGCGGAAGTCTCAATTTTCTCTGCACTCGAAGCAGGAATTGAAGGATCTTACTACACTGGAAATGCAGGACTTCTCATGGTCAACAACATCCTACAGTGTAGTTGGATTCGGGGATGGTATTTGGGGCCGAAATTCATAGACATGCCATATAATATTTCGGATTTGCACGATGAAGAACTCTAGATTTCAGCTACATCGGTTCGATAGCCATTGTCTGTCCTTATGCCAGCATCCTATTAAGCCAATGTCAGTCCTCAGATGGAAACGAACTTCCAATTTGCATGCTACATGCTGAAAACTAGAGATCTTTCATCTTTGGATACCTGTCTGTGCTATCTGTCCATGGACTTCAAAGGTTGCATTGTTCTTGCCGTGTGCTGAGACGATCTACTGGAGAATTGCACTCCTATGTTCGCGACAAACTAGCTCGCAGAATCCGTTAAAGATCGAGCATTTGAAAAGTAAAGAGCAATCGTAAGACTGCAAACCGACTGTTTGATTCCCCAAAGAGTATGACGGACCTGGTACCATCGAACAAGCTCCATGTCAGTAAATTCCGTCAGAATTCGTCGCGTGTTAGCTGTTATGTTACGATATAACCTGCACAGTATGTTCCACTGCCACTGACTCATTAGCTCAAGTAGACTGAAACACACATTGTAGAACCGATAGAATAAACATGGAGGACAGACGAGCTAGAAGAAGTCAATCATGATAACAGCGAGTAAAGGCAATCATGAACGAACCAAATCTACGAACCAAGAATCAATGAAACTTGCACTACACTGCCTACTCTAGGCACACGAAAACAGCGTCAGCTTTAACAACACATAAAGGTCCAACATGCATTCTCATTACTGTACATTTTCCTCGTAACAGAGCAGAAATCTCATCAATTTCCCACTAAAGCTTGTCCCTAATCATAAAATGGACTCGATGACGTCAAGCTCCCACGATCTTGTTGTATTTGAATAACTCTGTCATCACAAGTTGTACATCTGTCGATAATTCATCTTGAACAATTATCTTCAGACTGAATCTACGTATAACAAAGAGTTGTAGCTACTACTTATCGTACTCTCACAAGTTGCTGGTTTTAGCGTAGAAGACTTGAATTGTTGACTTGTTGACTTGAGGTTTATTCAGAAATTGTCTACAATGAATGCACGTTTTTTGAGCCTACAGTTGACTACTTCAGACATTTTCCTTTTATTAGTGTGATTGCTTGAATGACAAGAATGTAATTCTTTCCTTGGTTTGATTTTTTGGGCTCCGAGAGGAATTGAACTTCAGCTAGGAGCCCAAGATATCGAACTTGTTCCTAGTTTCAGTTGACAGTATTTTTGCGATGGATTAACTAGAAAGCTTTTTTACACATTTCGGCTTCATGATACAAACTCATCAATATATTCCACGAGCCCTACATGGAGTTACATGATCTGATCATGACTGATATGACTCGTTGGACAGAAAGAAGTTGACTGAGTTTGAAATCTACAGTTATCCTTGCTCGTGAATAACAGTAATCTACCAGTCATTCACAATGAACAGGCTGACATGTGCTTCCACACTGTGCAGCCACTTGTGTGTGCTAAGTCAGCCCCAGAGAAAGTCATGGACTCGCTGCAAGGAAAACATGTAAGCATCACCTTTTTAGTGTTACGTTTGCCAGCGCTGAAGCATCTACCAAATGTTGCACTGTTCAAAAGTTGTGAGTTTTCTTTGTGATTATGAATATTTGGCCCAATCTGTTGGATTCCACATTCACTAAACTCTTAGTATAAAAAGCGTAATAACGAGAAGGAAACTCAGCGTGTGTGTTATCGACCGCTGAGGTCTTGATTGAGCAGAGCCTGCTGACGAGCACTAATGTCAAGATCTGATTTTGATATGAGGATACGGACTTCGATTGAGGATTCATGTTGCAAGATTTTCGAAACCCATCGTGTCTTCCGACAATTTGTTATGCTAGCTAGGATGCTTCAAGGATTTCAGTGAAGAACAACGGATGGTATTAGCTGGAGTGATTTTGCTAGCCAGATGAGAGTGAAAATTACAGCGTGAACTTTGAATCGGTTTACTGTACCTTCAAAGTCTACTCCGTAAGCCCAAAGCACATCCAGGGTCCGATCCATATGTTCCCGGAGTAGATTGATTTTTCGCAGTCGAGTCGATGAGTTCAAAGCACGTCAAGTTTTCTGTAATCCCTGATCAGTCTAAGCTATCACTGCTGACGAGCCTTTGCTTCTGACATTGGAGAAGGAAAATAGTTTCCAGAAGATTGTCAATCTGAATGAGGGAAAGCCGATCTCGTCCTAGAAACGAGTATGGCCTGGTCACTTCTACGGTGCAGGAACTCCCAGTTCAGTTTTCACACCAGCAGGGTACTCGACTCCTATACGATATGCTTTTCCCTGATATGGTTTTTGCACTCCGTTCAACAAGCTCCAATCAAATGAAGGTTGAGGAAGACATTATCTCTGTCTTTGACATGTAGGCTGATGAGGCTTTGCTTCTGATATAGGATGACGAAAAAGCCTTACGGGCATCTGTCTTTTCTATGACGGCTGAGAGACTTTGGTTCGAGCTCTGCAATGGAACGAAAATGGCTTCCGGCGACCGTGATGTCCTTAAGCTCATCGCACTAATTGAGAAAAATCGATTGAAATTTCTACAACAAAAGACCTTGTCCTTATCGCTATGATCGGTTATAACAGATCCATTAAGAAGGAATATCTTATGAAATTTCATGATGGCCTCTTAAAACACTCCAGAGCTAAATGGGTTACTCCCCTCATATCTTAGCTAATGCATGGAACGGTGGGACGAGCTAAGGTACCAGAAGAAACCTTCCTCAATGCCTGCTCTTCACGGCCTGCTGAAATCCCCCTTTAAGGTTCTCGTAAAGTTTTGGATAACTTATGAAACTTCGAATTATCGAGATTCTTGAGCTCTTTCCAGGGGATGAATTTCTCTGTGTTGTCATTGAGAGAGAAAGCTGCTCCAGCAGCCTTTCAGATCACAGTACTGAAAAGTCCTTCATACATAGGCATACTCTTGTGAATCGACAATTCCATTCTTTCCGGCACTTGCCCGTATGACGCACTTGAGCCAATGTACAAGAGCTACCACGATCACTCATCTCAGACGATTACATTTACCAAATGAGCTTTGGAGCCGTGAGGTGGGATGATGCGGTGAAGCTTTTTATCGCTTAATTCCATAACCCTGTGGGCTCTGGAGTGTCCAACCTCGAACTATGATTATAGGGCTTTGTCAATTTTCTGACTTCCTGATATTTTCTCCATTCAATGATATGGAGTTTCAAGGCACATACAGAGGATTGCATTTGTCAAAAGTTGAAAGATTCCCCACAGGAATTTACATTATTTTTATTTCTAGGTGAATCTGTATCTCGTGATACGCTATTGGAGCGCAGGCAGTCAAGGTGTCAAGGTATCGTTGAAGATATCCTCTATGATCATGATGTGAATCTTACAAAGTGTAGCAAATATAGATTTCTCAAGCCATGTATAATGTGAATATGTATGAAGAAGCCATCACCCTAAGTGTTCTCTTTTGAAACGCTCAATCTATTTTTCTGTGAGCTACGATTATGGACAGATTGATGGGTGCAGAACAAGGAAAATGGATTTTGAGTTTCATGTATTTTTAATGTCACACTATAATAAAATTTGTCCAAAATTATATGACTTATGAATATATTTCGTTCTTAGTTGCTAACTTGGTTGAAGCTATTAAATAGTTCTTGTCTTAATATGAAAGAAAGTTTGCTTCATTTTGTAGTGAAAAACAAATTTAAGATTTCAGTCGTGCATATGTATTCTTTCAATTCTTAAAACTAATATCCATTGGTTTTATTTGATTGGAACAATTTTGATGCATCAAAATATTTGAAATTATTATTCAAAGTTTTACTTTTTTCAAATGTATCAATCGTAGAGTGTAATGTATCTTTTCTGATGTAATCTACTTTGTTTATTTGCTTCACCTAAATGTAAAAAAAAAAATTTGTATGTTGAATTACACTTAAATACTCGCATATGATGAATATTATTTTTTAATAGAACGAATGTATTGAATGACAGTACACCATCACAAAATTAGGACATTTGTAATATTCTGATGGAAGTAAAGCCGAGAGTGCAAAAATAATTTTCTGCAAGACTAAAATGTGGTATACTGACATCATGTCAAGCGAAGAAGAACGATCGAGCCCTTTGAGCAATAATGCTGCACTGATCCACGGGCCACAAACAGCGCAGCATCCAAATCGAATAGAAAGAGCTCCCCACAATTTCCAAATTAGGAAATTACGGCATGGTGGTCAACATGTCCGAGGAGCTCCAGGTCATGACACCTCACATCCGCATTTGCGGCTGAGACTGTGATTTCAGAGCCTGAATCTCCAATGGCTGTCCCCCAATCTGCACCCATTTCATGCACTCACAAACTTCAAATGGATTCTCGTCGAGGTATCTTCTGCTGCAAGCCGAACGAGCTGAAAGAAGTCTAGAATCTTGGCTTGCTTACTGCAACTTACAACGTGCGGAGACTGCGTGATCGAAGAGATCTGAGATGCTCATGCATATAAAGCATAAAGCATGAATATAAGAATGAATAACATACAGGCGAGAAAGCTTGCTTTCGTAATCTGAGCTGGACTAGAATTGACATGAGCTCAAAATATTCATTTCATGCACACCGGCGACGAAATTTAATCGTAAAAGATTGCACAGGTTACATGATTGGAGAGCTCTGGCCTTACAGTGTTCAGAGTGAATCCGTTGCCCTGAACCTGTGGGGGGACCCATGCGTTCATACTTTACGTTGCTTAAGCCACATAATCCCTGAGGAATCTGGGGGTGCCGTGCATATATAAGCTTGGCATTAGATTGCTAGCGTATCCAGCAGCCAGATGTGTCTCCCACTCCTGGCAGAGAAACTTCTCAACGAGGCCTGGAAAAGTAGAACCACCATACGATTCCTCGGTTGAGAATCCAGTCCGATCGGTTTGAATCTCCCTTTTGATCAGTGGGACCAAACCTCTGGCTGCTGGATAAATTGCGAAAATAGAGAAGCTTGCTTCGAAAAATTTGTGTTTCCCTCTTAGAACTTCCGCTCTTTAAATCGGATTCATCTTCTTTTCCAAGCTTCGTGCTGTTTTCAGATTGTTCAGATTGCAGATTCAACAGCTCATTTTTTCAACACGGAGGTCCAACCTCAGCTGCAGTCTAGAATTCAGATTCTGAGCTCTTGACTGAGCAAAGGCCAAGTGCACCATGGCGAATAAATCGAAAACATCGCCAACATTTGGCCACTCTTCGAATTCCATCGTGCAGATTGCAATTTTGGTCGGGTTCTTATGTTCCTTGCCAGTAATCCAGGGTCAAGATGTTCATTCTCAATGCGGAAATCTCACTGCATCCCCTCCATTGACGCCATTCGTGGTACCACTGACGCTTCCTCCGGTCATCGATATCTCCACTGGCGTTCCCATCACTCTGGGCACATATAAAATCTCTCAGGTACGTTCTGCAACCTTTGCTGGATTTACGAGTCAATGCATGAATGCAAATGCATGTAGAACAGACTCAGCAGTAAGATGAAAGCTTCAGAGTCGAAATAAAACCACAAAATTGTTTGTGGTTCAGAAGCTTAGAATACACGAATCAGACTCAGAACCAAACGAAGCTGCTTCGTGTATTCTAAGCTTCAATAGATTGAAAAGATAATCATCTTCCAGAGTCTTCATGGGGCAGTCTGGTATGAAATTCCTTCTGAGAACAGATGAATGAATACGATATGAATTGCTCTGATACGATATAAATTGCTCGGTACTCTGCTGAGCTCACAGAGTGTACATCCCGACCTGCCGAACACGACGTTTTACGCCTATGGGACGAGTCAAGAGACGGCCACGTACCCAGGGCCAACGCTGGAGGCGAAGCAGAATGTGGTCTCGTTCGTGCGCTTCGAGAATCACATCACGGACCCGGAGCATATCTTCGTCGTGGATCGGACCCTGCACCACGCCAATCCACCCAACGGAGGAGTTCCGATCATCACACATCTGCACGGAGGCGATGCTGAGAGCAAGTACGACGGGCACCCGGATGCTTGGTACACGGCCGCCGGCGACACGGGACCTAAATTCGTCACGAGGGACAATGTGTACCCGAACGAGCAGCCCGCGAGCCTGCTATGGTACCACGATCACACCGTCGGCATGACGAGATTGAACGTGGCGGCTGGCCTGGCGGGACTCTACATCATCAGAAGCGAGTCGGAGGATCCTCCCTTCCTGCCATCGGGAGAATTCGAGATCCCTCTCGTCGTCCAGGACAGACAATTCTTCCCCAATGGGTCCATCAATTTCCCCGACATCGGGCTTCCCCCCTTCGCTCATCCGCAATGGTGCCCCGATTACACGGGCGACGTGATTCTGGTCAATGGCAAAGCATGGCCCTACCTCGATGTGCAGCAGCGAGTCTATCGACTGCGCATTCTGAACGGAGCGAATTCTCGATTCTTCACTCTCTTCTTCAGCGACTCGAGGCTGCAGTTTCTGCAGATCGGCACCGACGGTGGCTACCTCTGGACGCCCATTCTGCTCAGCAACATCACCATCGCCCCAGCGTACCGAGTGGACGTGCTCGTGGATTTCAGGGCTGTTCCGATCGGGTCCAGCTTCTTCCTCAACAATTCGCATGCGGATACGATTCTGACCAACACGACCACCCCGACCACGAACTATGTCATGAAATTCAACGTCGTCCGAAGCTCAGGCCGCAAGTCTGCGCAGCAGAATGTCGTGGTCCCCTCATCCTTCGGCCCCGTTCCCAATATCTCCGGCTGGGCCAGCACCGCTACGTTGTACCGCAATGTGAGCTTGGTCGCGACGCTGCCGCCAGTGTTCAACCTTTCGTTTCTGCTCAACAACGCGCACTGGACCGATGCTCCCACCGAGACCCCGCAGCTGTACACGATCGAGATCTGGGACATCACTCACCTCATCCCCAATGGCGTGCATCCCATCCACATTCATCTGGTCAACTTCCTCGTCATGCATACCCAGGCATTCAACTACACCCGACTGAATGCTAGCGAGTGTTCTCTTCAGCTTCCATACCCGGATGCCGGCAGCTGCTTCACCCAAGCCCCGCAGCCCCCGAATCCTTCAGAGATTGGATGGAAGGACACGATTATAGTGAATCATGGTACCGTAGTTCGACTGCTCGTTCCGTTTTTTCCCAGGTCAGGCCAATTGTACAGCTTCGATCCGACGACGTTCCCCGGATATGTGTGGCATTGTCATATTCTGGATCACGAGGATAATGACATGATGAGGCCGCTCGCCATCCAGCCTCCTCCACACGCGTAGGTCAGAAAATTCATCATGATCAATTGGTGATCATCATTCTTAGCACGGAGAAGAGAATCTGCCTTCAACATCCGAAATTTTCTGGCTTCATCGTCCTGCTGCCAGTTCGTGGATGTTGCACTTTATTACTGGATCATACTCGTTGCAGAGAGTCTGAAAATTCTCCCCGACCTGCAGCAGATCAGAAGCTGCAAGTTCCTTATAAGCTGAATAAGCTGAATCTCCTAATTGATACTACTGCAACCTCCTGTAGTCTTCGTTAGGTGAATCTTAGGAATTCTTGAACGCCATGTCCATATGTTGTTACGTACACAGTGATAGTCATCTGAGCCTCAGCCGAGTCCTGCTGGAATCCGGTTCCGAAGAATTCGGTAAATCAGGTCTAGCAGCGGCTGCGCTGTCGACTGAAAGGAATAATCATGTGATCAACTCGTTATTTGTCCTGTGAGGCATATTTCAGGATCGAGAAGTAGCAGCGACCTGTCTCCAGGGTTCAATTTTCCAAATAATCTGATGTAGAAAAATCTAGCTTAGATGAACATTGGTTCGGAAACAGTCCTGTCATTCACTGCAGTTGCGAAACTGTATATATTCAAATAAAACATGATTTCATACAAAGACTGGAGAGCGTCTGCCTGTGTCAGTCAAAGTTTGATATCTTCTGGTTCTTCTGTGGAGTTCAGTGGCTTTCATCGTTTCTTTATGTTTCTAAATTCTCGAGCTGCAAGTTGAACCTTAGACTGATCGGTGCTTATTCCCTGTCGAGAGCACCCGTCAGGCAGCTAGATTGAACGATCAGTCCTTGCGTTATTCCGCGTTATTTATCGTCTTCGCTGTTCCTTTCATTGTCAAGTTTTAGATGTAATTCATCAGTCCGTGGATTCTCAGCAGCCAACAGTGGGCTGATTAAGCATTGCTGCTCGGGCAATGATCCTTCTATCTGATCACATCGATCTGAGTACAACAGGTTGTGTGCATCACAAGATTTTGGTGTGCAAGCCTTTAGGCAAAATGGTGGAAGATTGAAACACGAGTGATTACTGGATATCGGGACGAGTTGTCTTCTCTCCCCTCCACGAAGTTGAAACTCCACAAATGTCACTTCTGACGGAGGTAGGGAATGCAATTTCCTGCCTGAGTCTCGAGGTATGACTGTTCTCTGGAGGTAAATTACAGTTGTCGATTTACCGAGAATATACTCGGATCTAATGTCAAGGTCTACCAACTCTTGGATGTACCTGGCGTGGAAATTTGTGGCCAGTCACAGATGTCACTATCTCATTCGAAACCTTGAAACCCACAGAGACTTGTTCTTCGGCTCAAACTGAAGGAGTGTGAATGCAGTTTGGAAAAAAGATTTCCAATGGCTTGCAGAGGAATTTACTAAACAGTATGCGATGTGCGTCAGCGAGAGATCATGCTGATGCATGAAGAGTAAACAATATCAGAAGACAGAAGACATTCTCTTCTTCTTACTCTATATCTATCAGCGTATCATTGACGCTTCGAACACAAACAAGTGTCAATTTTTCTCGATTGCTCTCTCAACTTCTCTGATGCGTGAATCGACCTACTTGTATATGGTTAAACTTAAACGATAATCCACAATCACCTTTATCTAGCTAATGGTGGAAATCTTCTTTTTGTCTTGTACCTCCCATCAATCAAATCAATCAATCTCACAACTACATCTGTGATAGCAACTAACACGCAAAAATACAAATCCTTCATTGCTATTACAAGTATATCAATCTCGTCTTGGGATAGTCAATTTCTATTTTAGTGCATTTCAGTCGAGGATTCACTTTGGCACGTTATCGTGTGGACAAGCGAGCATGGTTTCCATTTCTAACACTTCCACAACACTCTCTCCCCTACACCCCAAGAGTACCTATTGGACATAGAGAAGTATCAACTAGATTCTACCAAATATTCTAAGATGAGAATTGGGTTACGTTCCCTTCATAGTTTGTTCCAGCCACCCAGGTTACGTTTCTAATTCAAACACATGATTCTTTTGATATGGCTCGGCTACATTGGTGTAGAAATCTTGGACAAGTTGGAGATTACATTCGAGTAGTACATAATTTTCACCTGTTGATTCTGGCTTGTAAGCAACTATTGCCTCTTTAAGGTCTTTGGATCCATCTATGAGAAATCTCATTCCAGGACCCGCAATATTAGAATCACTATGTTTTGTATGGATCAAATTTTGTCTAATCTTAAAGCCATACCCCAATCAGTTGGGGTATGGCTTTAAGATTGGGTTGCGTAAAAAGTTGGGTATTCCCAATTGGCATGTCATGCATGGTGTATTGAGTATTCTCAAATTTTCTTTCAAGTATGTGAATTTTTATTGATTTTCATAGTTGTTTGAAGATTCTCCATCAATTGCCAAGAGAGATATTATATATTCATTCAGTCAAATTTTAGATGACAATTAACATTTGCAATGAAAAGGACTATTGGAGACATTAGACCGTCAATATTGGAAAAATTTTATTGCGACTTGTTAGTCTATCCGATATCATCATGCATCGTTCATTTTTCTAGTTGCATATTCTTACGTATGAGATTGTGAAGCAAAATTGTTGAACATTAGAGCTTTTTGGATGACAATGTGAATTGGATGATTCTATTAGATGGCATGGACTTTTTTGTGACATTAATAAAAACATTCACATACATTATTAAATTGTTCATCTGAAAAATCTATTTTTGACAATATTTCTGTGAGCGGTCAATCTATTTCGGTGCAAAATACAAGTATGAAAATTTTTATCAATTTATCCCTTTTCAAAACTTTTCATATATTCTCCTTATAGATGGACATGTATACATAAAATATGGATTCAAAAATGTCTGTAAATGGACATTTCCGTCAAACAAGTAACATCTGAGCACTTGAGTTATATCATAAATGGACTTCGAGCATTGATATAACAACCAAGGTTTTTCTTTCGATACCATTATTTTTTCAAATAGGATTATGTTTCGAATTTACTTCTTTGATTTTCTAAGTTTAGAGTTGTATCAAGCTATAGACGTGAATTTGATATATTTGTTAAAATGCACAGAAGTTTTTAAACTAAAGAATTATATCTCTTTCTTTTTTTATCCTTTTTTAACTTATTGTGTATTTTATGTTAGTTGGTGTGTTTAGTTTCTTTTGAGACAAACATTTGACATGCATCATTTGATAGTTTCTATATTAGAAAATATATTATTCATTATTAAGGCCAAATTGCTTGTCTCATTTTTTGAAATAAAAGTAATAAAACGAAATTTAAATTATAAAGATTCAAGGTTTTATTATCGTATTTTGTGTCATCTTATCTTTTTGATTTCATCAAATTACTGTAAAAGAATATTTTAAGATACAAATATCAAATCAATAATCTAGTTTTAACTTCGAAAATCCCAATTTTGACAAACATCATAATGTCACTTTTGTTATCGATTACAAGGAAAGGAAAAATTGATAACTTGATTATTAAAACATATCCATAGCACTAAATATATGTTATTGAAATCTTATGTGAAACAAAATCTCAAAATATATAAGATAGTTCAAAATATATAAGATAGTATAAAACATAAATAAAATGGATTCTAGTTACATATTTGATCTTTATATAAAAAATAGTAAATTGAATCCCATTTAGTTTAACTAAAACTGATGATACTTAAACAAATTTCATATATGGTTTTTAAAATAATCTAACGTTGAGAGGTAAATTGAAACTTAAAAAATGTATGAATCATCTCACATTATACTTTGGTTCAAAGTAAATTTACGAAAATACGGTAAAAAAACGAAAATAAAACATAGGACTCCTAAAGTATCCATCACATTATTTTTGTACTTCATTTCCAATTTTCAAATTCCGATAAATTTTTTCACTGATTATATCCAAATTTATTAATTTTATGCATCAGTTTAATTGAAAAAATGCAAAGATTTATTTTTTATAAAATTTGAAAAAAATTCTATGATGATGTTCGACCCGGTATTTATCGAAATTCTTTAACTCATCGAAAACAATGGTATTTTACGCTTTGGCGAATCTTGCACTTCACTTACTCTAACCATGACCAAGGAATGCTTTTGCAAATTACGTCCTTAGACATTACTGTAGCCATTTATATTATTTCGATTACTTGACCGTACTCAAACTATCTTGCTCGAATCACAATAAAGATAATTTTGGCGAGCTTGTCCTAACACGCGGCAAACCCCCTGCTTTTAGAAGCTCAAATACGTTTGGTGTGTCATTTCGACTCTACTTCTATCCTAACGATTCATTGGCAGATTATGTATATTTTCTTTATTGTTGATTGATTTTTCATTCCTTCGGTGACAAAATTCGGCTCGCTTATATCAAAATCTATTAACATAAATAAGAGTGACTCTATCTCAATGCATTACCAAAACCAATTCGTCAGAAAATACTGTATAAATTTCAAATAATATATATACTTAGTTCAAGTATTATATTCATAAATCAGATGAAAACATTATTTATAATATAATTATGTTTGTACTACTATTAGAAAAAAATTTATATAAGAAATCAAAACCAGTTTCAAATATAAAAGTATTGATTTCAAGAAGAAAATGTCCGCAATGAAAATTCTTATAAGCTTAAAGGACAGAAACGGTAAGAATAATCATTGCTAATGTTATTTTTTGTTGAGTCCGTGGGACGTAAGGCATTATAAGTAGAATCTATCGAGCATTACCTTGTCAAGTCTTCCAGACTACAGCAATGAACGAGTCAAGATACTACAAGAAACTCTGATAATGAGCAGTCAAGGGTTTAGGGTTTAGGCTATGTTAATGCTTAGAACATATTTTCAACGTACTCGGCTTCTCTATAGAAAACTCACACGTCCTTGATCAATTCTGCTTTCTTTGATCCATCACAGGGTTGAGCCAGATAGCCAAACAGGTTACCACTGACTGAATGTGATTCCTTGCGTAGGAGAAATCTCGTGGTGCACATTTACACGCACTGCATGGCATGGCAGGACGAGACGATCAAATCAGAAGTTATTGTGCTCGATTGAAGAGTCAGGTACATGTACCATGGTCTTCTGCCTGCGGTCATCTCAAGAGCTTCTGCGAATTTTCTCTCCGCTCCTCAAAGGCAACGAGGATTATTCGATGAATCGCAAGCAGAGTTATTTCTGCAACACCTTTTCTTGAGAGGCAGACTGCTATGCTTTAATTTTCCCAGTGAAGAGATATGGGAAGGGATAGAGTAAGCAAGAATTGCAAAAACTTGCAGTTTCTGCGATGATTGCAAACCCTCGGCAGCCTGAAACCTGATGTTAATTAAGGTCGAGCCGATCATGTCAAGCTTTGCAAAGTACCGATTACTTCCATTTATTCATTCTACTCTGCTCTCCGTTTGCATGCAACAGGGTGTTTCGACGAGTTTACACATCTAGATCTATGAAAAGAAGAATCTCAGCGCAGTATGCAGGCGCAGCGTCTGTTGTGCCATTCTATGAGCCCATCGCACCCCTGAAGCTAAAGCGCGAAGTTATTCAGAAATTTTTCTTACAGAAAGTTATTGGTTTCTCTCTTTCAGGTATTCTGCTCACTCTGGAATAAAATGGAGTGACTGCAGATAAGAAGAAGTGACAGATGTGAAGCAGCAAAGTATTCTCCCTAGGATGAATTTGACCAAATTTGGCTCGTTCAAACGATAAGCTCCGTCTGAGCAACCTGGTTCCTTCTTTCTTAGAATGCTTCTTGCAACCCGGACTTACTGATTATTTTTGAAGAGAAATGGAGTTCGGCTCGTTTACTTACAGTCAGAAATTTGGAAGAGATATCAAAAGCTCCTTATCAGTAAATCGTTCTAGACGACCTGGCATGTACATAGTCTTAGTTGAGGAACTAGATCTCAAGGTAAGCATGTCAGAGCATGTCAGGGCAGCCAAAGGATATAATATTGCTCGCTCTATTTACTCGAGTCTTTTCAGAGCTTCCTCATCATGAATTTTACTCCGGGACACTCTTGGAAGCTCAAGTGTGTATGTGCGAGCAGTTAAACCAAAACCAGTGCCGTTGGGCTTGACACAACGAAGGCACTTACTTCATCATAGCCCCTTCTGTGTTCTTCTTTCCCTTTTCGTCTGGAAGATGCACCCTGTCTCAGCAAGAGAGTCAACCCACTCAATTTGCAGCATATGTGATCATCAAGACGTAGCTACTCATTAACTGCTGAAAAGTCACCGAACAGTATCTTGCAGGAGGTCATACCGGAGATGTATGATCTGCTCAGAGATGAAGAACTAACAGTAAAACGAAGCAGCATTTGCAAGCCGGGTGCAGATGCTCGACTACTTGCTAAGAAATCAGACAGACTAGAATTATGCCTTTTCTCTGTTAGTACGCTCCTGAACTTCCAGAGCTCAATCTAGCAGCAGATCTGAGAGCACTCTAACCTAAAGGCCGCAATTTTAGAGCGAAATTCTTGAGGTGTGCTTTTCTCCAGCTGGAAAGGTTGTTGCCTGACTACACCACAACTGCACCTGCTTGCAGCTCCCCCTAGTCACTAGATATACATCACATTATGCACGAATACACCAGAGGAGTCTACTGAGCAATTTCATGGACTTGATGAGTTGTAAGACTCCTCATGTTGGGCCCCAAGGTTGGGATCTACGCTAGCCTGAGACATATTGTAAGCCATAAACTTTCTCTTTACTCGGGAATATTTTGAGATATGCAATAGAGTTGGACTTACGAGAGCCAAGTACGTCCAAAATAACCGTCAAGTCTAAGGCCTAAACCGATAGAAAATTAAACACTTCTTCCCATCTACAGGACCAAAAGCCCTATTTAATGTTCTGTAGCTAATTTTGAAAGTTCATGGTCGTTCATTAACGGAATCCCAAATCTAACAGTGAATAAAATTAGTAACAATGTAAGTTCGGGTAAAAAAATGTAATGAAACAATCTGAACGGCGTATTGATTCAAGATATGTAAGTGGTTTTTTAATTTCAAATTCTGTTACTGTTCTCCTTTCCCCGGTGCTACACAAATTGATAGGAAATCTTGTAAGCTAACATGATTAAGTGAAGACTTTTCAGGTGAGTTGATGAAATTTGAGTGGATATTATTAGCAAACTCAAGTTTCAGTCAACAGATATCATACACCCCACAACATGGCTAGGCGTTCAGTTGAGCTCTTGAACGAGACATTAATGAAATATCGTAAGTTAAACCAATTTCAAGGATTAATCGGAAATAGCTTCTCTCAACTAGAGTAGGGCCGAAGTTTGTAATGTAAGTGGATATATATATATATATATATATATATATATATATATATGGGACCTTCGATAAGCTGAAAATGGGTACCTAATTGATACCCAAAAAAATAGGAGAATCTCATCAAGCGTGACAAGGAAAAAAACAAGAAACCATGGACCAGAACGTTGATGAAATATATGTCTAATAATTACCAAATTATATCTTGAACAATCTACACAGAACAATACTATTAGATGATGCATCAATTTACGCAACTGGGCTCTTATGTATAACGCATAACTAAGCAGAAACAAAATACTAGAGATTTATATTCCTTGTTGACTAGTATCGTAGGATAGAATCTCGCCCGTTCAATCATATGTCTATGGTAGATGGCCTCTTTGCATACCTTAGAAAAATGCATGTTCATCTCTTTATTAAAATCGCCGCATGTATCAATGCTAACCATTCCATATCTCTAACTGCAACGTGGTCTTTTCTAACCAAGTAAATTCCGCGTCAACCTTGTGAATTGCACCCATGATACCACTGTCTCACTCGATTGGAGTTATACACATGATTTTATATTTTACGATGATGAGTACATTATATACACTCACATATGTAACTGCATCATGGTTATTAACCGTTTTTTGATAGCAATAAATGTTATCAATATAGACTAATACAATATAAATTGAAAGGTGCCTGGAAAATCTCAACAAATCTGTGTGATCAATTTTGGATTTGCAGTTTTCAATGATTAAAAACACAGGACAGCTTGTCATGTACAAAAAGAATCCGGATTATAGACTCCATGGAGACTTGGACGATGTCTGTGGACAACAACCTTGAATCAAATGGATGAAAATGACATGCTGTCGAAGTAATGAAGAAATTCAGTGGGCAAGCTGCTTGGAACTAAATGCGATCCGTGGCGATGAATATGCAAACACGAGAACATTTCTGTCTATTCATTTAGACCTCAAGAAGTCTACGTAGATTTGAGTGCAATCTCAAGAATTCTGCCCTCAAAAGCTTTGAACTCAGGAAGCAGGACCAATGCTTAATATAGAAAACTGTTCTAAATCTCAGAGGGACTCCCAATTTTCTGAAAGGAAGGATCAGTGGCCCTGTAGATGATCTGAAACAGTGTAAAAAGTTATGAAACATTAGTCTCTCCCATGACTTCATCAACTGCAGAAGACATCTCTCTCGAGAACAGCATTGACAAAGCACAGGAGCTCGCATCTGTATCTTACTTTGACTTGATCTGAATGGTCGGGTCACCCATCGCTTTCCACCATTATCCACTGCATCCACATAACTCTACATGCATCGTCTGGGCGTGACTTTAATTGTTAGCACTGCACGCACCGTCGTGGAGCCCTCTAGATATATGCTTTGGTCTCAACATCTCCCCTCATGAAGCCATGGAGGTGTTCACTAATCAGGCCTCTACGACAGTCAAAGTTAATGCGCAGGGCCAGAAAGAAAACAAAATTGAAGAAACAGCTGCAGGAAGTGACAATCTACAATGACCTGCAAGAATCTCAAGGAATAGTTTCGCTCAAGAGTTCAGTTCAGAAAGGTTTCAATCCTGGAGCTTAAAAGTATCGGTCAGAAGCGGAAAAAGTTGAGACATCGTTCGTTGCAATATCAGACTAGGCACTACCATGTCCGACCAGCACCTCTAAGCTTCAGGATTGAAGCCCATGAACTTCTCATCGACGACAAAATCGATGTGAAAAGAAATCATAGATTTACAGAATGAGCCGCTGCCAAGTGCATCCGCGCGACTTATAAACAGAAGTCAAACATCAAGATCACTCATCGCCTCCTGGTCGAAGCAGCTGCGACCCTGGGGAGGGTTCAGCTTGGGAAGGCTTTCTTTCCCTACGAGGAAACAACAGCCCGGGAAGAGAATAAGAATGTCAACTGTCTGTTCTCAACTCGCTCAGAGGAACGAGCCTTTGAATATTCAACATGGTCACAACTTAGAGACTCGATGAACCGCGATGCACAACAATCCACTGCGATCCACGGGCATGCATATGGTGATACAGTCCTTCTCAAACCTCAGACTTACCTGCACAGAGAACGACGGTTTGATTTGGAACGAACACACGTCGGGTTAATAGGAACTTGCAGACTCCGATTTCCTCGAGAGATGGTAAATTGAGTGAAAGCCAAGACATTGAATGACAACTGCTCGGCAAAAGACGTCTGTCTGCCTTGCATCCAGCGAGCTCACGGCGTCCTCCTATCTGGGGAAAAAAATCGGGTGTTCCAGTTGTACTCTGGAGTGCTCGACAGATGACAGCAGGCTTTCAGATTGCATGAGCAAAGCCGCAGCTCGATTCCTTGGCGAAGCTGCCCTCAAGAGTCTTCTTTCCCATGGATCCGTCTGCGAGCTTTCCACGATTCGAGCAGAGTGGAAATCAAGGAGGACGGAAGGCGAGGCGAGCTCGTAACTGCGTCGATGCAATTTCCTTTTAATCTGATCGTCAAATCGACAGCTTGTGTCGATGAACGGTGACATGAGCGAGAAGGCGCAGGGCAAGGCAAGGCAAGGCAAGGCAGTGGATGCAACCTCGAGCCCAACAGTGGATTCGATGGATCAGGAATCCAATCCAGACAAGGTCAGAGATTCTGAGACCCCGTTGGCTTTACAAAAACGGGCGGGGAAGATAAAATTGCGCCGCTCTCCAAGTCTGTAAAATGCGCTGTCGACGAGAGCGCGGATTCTTTCAGCGCTGAAACCAATCTCTGACCACAAAGCTTTATTCGGAAGCATATCGAGGACGAAACGAAGGAAGGGACAAATCACAATGCGCTCATTTCACGGGATCAATCACATCTCATCACATTTCTTTATTGGGCGCCCTCCCTCCGTGAACATATTGCACATGGACGACTGTGTCGCCAACATTCCACAGAGAACATGTTCCCAGGCAAAGGAAGAGAGGAGGCCCGGATTAGAATTGTGTGGCAGTGTGCTGCAGGCCGTCGCCCGGCACGCTCTGGATCGCCTCGGGCATGTGAGCGGCACGCGATCGAGAAATGGGTGTCGGGAGAATTTTGTCACACCTGCATGGGACCGACCCTCGCGAGCGACCTCATGCAGACGGCAGATCTGGCCCTCTGTGTGTCGAGCCCGTGACGCATCCGCATACGACACTCGAGATCCCCCTGCCCGATTCGATGGCAACATGAAAGCTCTACGTGTTGCATTGGTCGACGTAAGGTCAGCAGTTGTACATTTCTCGAATCCGATCGGAAATTCATTTGAAGCTTGAGTAACATTCTAACCACATTCATCAGCAGTCGTAAATCTCTCGAATCCAATTGGAAATTCATTTGAAGCTTGAGTAACATTCTAACCACATTCATCAGCAGTCGTAAATCTCTCGAATCCAATTGGAAATTCATTTGAAGCTTGAGTAACATTCTAACCACATTCATCAGCAGTCGTAAATTTCTCGAATCCAATTGGAAATTCATTTGAAGCTTGAGTAAATTCCTAACCACATTCATGGAGCATGTGGGTGATTGATACCATGTGGAGTTAGTAGCCTCGTTGATATCCTTCTTACGTAACCTTTGATACATAGTCTCGGGTACATATTTGTCACATTCAGATATTTAAGTCGTGAGAGTTAGATGTTTTTTTAAAAAAAATTGTTTTTATTTTGATTGGATTCAGATCGAAACGACATTATTCGCTTTGGATAACAGGACTCTTCTTCCCGACTATTATTTGGACTTTTTTCACGCAGTCCATATTGGTACAGATGCACATAAGGTTCAGCCTGTATTTAATTATCTGGTGCAGATAGAAGAATATCATCTAAATAGTGTGAAACATGGATTCATGCTTTCCTGATCTCTATCGAATGAGAACTTTAGTAACAAAGCCGACCAAAAGAGTAACAATAATTTTATGTGTTTATTTATACTCTGCACTTTCAAAAGTACGAAAGTGTCCACAATAGAGACTACTCAAAACAACGCTGGTAGCAGAGCCCACCAAAGATTTATAGATAAATACATATATTGTACATAAATATATACTCTCTAAATCATGCGACGCTACCCAAATAGGGTATTCGTCAGTGCAGTGAGGCAAAAATGAGGTTTGGAGATGCGGGGTATCGATCCCCGTGCCTCTCGCATGCTAAGCGAGCGCTCTACCATCTGAGCTACATCCCCTGCACGTCCATGAAGTCCTCATAACTAGTATTATTCTTCAAAACATAAGTGATTTAAATAAAGATGGTAGATTTAATCTCGGTCAAAATCGTAAGGGAGTTGAGTGTGGTTGATAGGAAACCATACGATGACTATGAATGCTAGCCTTAGCATGTGAGAGCCTGATGGCTTTCTCGGCTTGATCGGGTCTTCCGTGTCTTATTAGGTCTTATTAGTATAATAATGCTTCAGGAACTTAGCTCTCTGAAAGTAGTGTTGTAAGATAAAATAATGCTTCACAAACTGGAATGTCCATTCCGTTCAGGCATATTCATTTCCTCCCCAGGAGCCCCACGTAGAAAGGTCCAGCCGTTGGAAAGAGCCATGCTCAATTTGATTTCCATCCAGCACAAGTCTGAAACCCCCGTAGAGAAATGTCGTAGCCCTTGGCTCCAGAGAGATAACCGTCGATAGTCTAGCCAGTCGATATATACCGTCATAAATCGAAATCCAGATGTACGTTCATTCAACAAATTCTCATTTGCAAAAGAGACCTCAATCGAAGTCATTGAAGTCTAATGGCTCCGCTAGTCTTCAATCAGCATGAATACTGAGCTCGTGACGCAAAGGTTTACCGTCGTAGTGTTACTACAATGCCCTCACCTTTATGGGATGGAAATTATCTGGATTAAGTATAAAATGGGGTACAAAGAAATGCATGCAATAACTAAAACCCGATAAACTGGAAAATGTATACTATCGAGAAATCGGTGCTCTAGCAACTTAGACAACTCATTATCCCCAACAACCATCAATATTATGACGTTAATTTATTTACGACTAGGAATACTTATCAAGAAACCAAAGAGGTAGCATGGGGCTAGGTCCCAATGAGAAGATTATATTCTTCCGACTAAAGTATCCAAAAAATCCAATTGATATTATATAAAACAACAAGAATATCATAGTAACATCAAACTAACTTGGACTTTCTGTTATGAGTTGCATTGTATGAAAATACTATCTAAAACAAGAAGTATTTTTCTCTATTAATTACACAATAACCTACAGAAACTCATCGGTTAAATATTTTTTTCCCCTATCTCGATTAATTTGTAATACCTTACCGGACTATTCTTCTTCGCCATCACTTCTTAGCTCATTGGATTCACCACATATATCAATTGCAGACGGAACATTCTATCATGAATGTTTTCTTTTTCTCATATTCGACACTGGCCACTTCGTCTTCTCACAACTTTTTATGTGTGGCACTATTACACCCCCATGTATCTGTCCGTGTCATCGTTGTAAACCCAGGGCTTCTTGCACCTTTCAATTTTAGCAACACTTTATCGAAAGCACCGCGTTGACTTTTGAGATATCATATGTTGTCGATATCATATAATGGGAGGATGAGAGTATCGTCACGATGAGGAAAATGAACAGGCCTTTAATTCTCTTTACGTCCGAATAGGATGAACACAATCCTCTCGATGACGCAGCTTCATTCGTAATCTCCTTTGGAACCATCTTCCACTATATCGCTACACCTACAATTGAAATAGTGTGCGTGTATCTAGATCTCTGTGTTTGTAGCCTAAGTTGGGGAATGATTATTTGATTCATTTAAAATGTTCTTAAAGTGTGGATACTGGTAACTCTGCGAAAAAGTGAAGACAAAAAAATGAAAACTGAAAATTTCATGCGATCAATTTTTTTTTTACTCACTCTTACCACATCCTTCATCTATCGTTAGATTTTTGTCCTTTTACTTTTTCTGTAGTTTCTTTCAACCTTGAACTGTAGGCTTGTATCATTCTCCTGTGAATGGAGACCATTTAGATTTCATTTTCATAAATGAAATCTAACAGAGACCATTTGACAGAAGCCACCTTTGAAAGTTAAATATTTCTTAATTCATATAATCCGCGCGCTCGATGGTAACAGATATATTTACGCACGCTCACATGGCCACAATTACATTGAAGGGCAACGGCGACGCTTGGGAAAAAAATGTGGGAAGAAAAAGGCCTGAGCCCTAAACCCTTCCCTTTCACTTTCTCTGAGGAAATATGAAGACATATCAAAGAATATTATCAGGGTCGGGATCGTCCACCGTGGTCGTGCCACCGTGGACGGTGTGTGTAACATCGTCACCGTGACATGGGAACCGCAGGGATGACGTGGCAAGACCGGACCCGCGGTTCCAGGAGGAGACGGGAAAAGGTGGAGAGTTTGGACAGTCGCTTGTGCCCGTTCCGAGGTCGGCACGAGCTGTCGGAACTCGAACGCGAGCCCGGCACGCGCCGCATCCGAGCGTTGACATTGCACTCAGGGGAAAGGTCTCCCGTCTCTCTCTCTCTAAATGCGGCTCCTGCTGCTCCTCTTTGTCTCCGCTGCGGTCCGTGCAGGTCGTATCCGGAGTCAACTCCTTCTGGGGAAGGTCCACGCTTCCCATCTTTGCCGTTTAGCCATTGACGCCCCTCGACAGCCACCGAGGATTCTGAAGCCGGGTCGCTTTTCAGGATCGATCATGTCCCGTGTCGTTCTTCTTCTGCCACTAGGAAGAACTACTGAATCTCTGAGAGGTTCCAAGAATAAGGACCGCATGGTGATGATCGACGCCTTGAGTGAATTCCATCAATTTCCTGACACGGAAAAACACCTGAAAGTTCATTGACCGAGGAACATTTACGAGCACCAGAGTCTGGTGAGAATCGATCATTCGGTGCACGCTCCGATGAGAAGAATCAAGGATTCACTCTCTGTCGCAGGGGAGTGGCTACTTTCACTTCCCCTTCGTAAGACAATTAAGCAATTATTATTATTGAAAGGTGGGAATTCCTCAGCTTCTTCAGTTTATCAGAATTCGGACAGCCTCTGGACTTCTCCGTCCGTCCCCTCCATATTTATGATGAATAATAAGCCTGACCTCAAATCCGCAGAATCGAATGAGTCTTCGCAAGTAGATCAGATCGTCGATGAAGGCCTGTAACTCACTTGCTCATTCCTCATTTCATTTCAGACAAAGTTCGTTTGGCCTCTGGGTTTGCCATCACTCGATACCAAACGTACAGCGTCTCATGGGAACGAATGGTCATCCTCCGTGCTGCTGCACAAATTCTAGTTATGAAAGGGTCGGTGACTCTCAGAGAATTCAAAGATGAATATAAGAGATGTGTCACGGATGCTAGAAAGAGCAATTAAATAAAAATAAAAAGTTTTGTCAAGCTAACTACATTATTCGCCTATTATGCTTTTCGTAATTTTCGAGAATAATACAATCGAATTGATGTTCCTGAGTTTAAAGCAATCCGTGTTTACAATACATGCTATGCAATTCTGAAACTGGAATGGCTTGCGTCCAGTTTGTAAGTCTCGTCTTCCTTCAAACATCTCGATATGGGCTCATCCATTTATGCTCTAACCCTATTTATGACTAGTATAGAGACATAATTATGTATATTTCAAGGAATTTAAAACATATTCCACTTTGCGTGATAGATGGGGACAGCTTCCGTCACTGAGAACAGAAGCTTGCAGTTAATGCCCAAGGAGCTCGGTCGCTAACGCGAGGAGAACCAGTCCGAGAGAAACCTCTGCGGACATTAACTCTCAAATGCTCGCGCTTGTTCTGCTGTAAAGCGACACTTGCACTCCCAAATTTGTAACAATTATCGCCACCCATAGTGGGTGGCGATAATTGTCAATCAATAGATAAATGTCAATCTCCAAGGAAGCGGAACGCAGCTTCTCGGCCGGCTCCTCTGTATGCAAACAATTCTGAACATCGCATGAATTCTGAACAATTCTGAACATAAAACTCGTGTAAATTCCCAATGCAACCTCTGACTACTGAAAGAGTCTAATAGTCAACAACTGATTCAAAACCATTGTTGAAATCAGATTTTTTAATTAACCCGAAATTATTTTCGGTAAAAATCATGGTTTTTCCACCACTGCACCCAATGCTGTTATCACTGGGGCAGCGCAGTCGCAAACCGGCGTTCAGTGCACATTATCATTGCATTCGCGTCTGCACACTCTTGTGAAATGATAAATGAATGAATGAAGGATAAAACATAGCAAAGGACGCGGCCAGCTCCACTCCGACAAAGATAGTCATGTCTTCGTTGGAGGGAACGAGCGTCTGCAGGCTCTCGGCCCCAGAATACTCAGTCACTTTCGCTTCCCCCGGTCCTGTCAGCACCTGCCTGTATCCACGGAACGAGTACAGTCCCTTCTGAGGAGGTACCATCCTCAACCTCGCACGGCACGGAGTCCTCGAACGGACCTCTGTCTGTCTGCCTTGCACCATGGCCGCAGAAAAAGCACGAAGCCCCTTTCTGAGCCAGGATTTTTCTTAAAGCGGTAATGGATATGGAGAAGAGCATTTTCGCACCCGTCATCTGGGCGCCATCGCAAGCGGCCATGGATGAGCAAGCGCAGCTCTTCGCGAGGGAGTGTGTGAGGAACCTGGTTTTGATTCGTTCGCGTGTGTTCGAAGTGCAGGGGTCCCGTGGGCGGAATTTTCTATTTTGCAATTTGCTTCTTTGGCCCCCATGCTCAACAGGCTCCTGAATCTTCGCGTCTCTTGTTCCAACCACTTGCTGGCCAGCGCTCGCGGGGGACTTCGCTACAGCAGGTGCGATTGTGCCTGCGGCTTATCTGCTTTCGAGACCTTACTTAAAGCTTTCGGCTCCAGCTCCAGATAGTACAGCCAGGGCAGTACATCTCGCTGGTACCGGTCGCTCGCTCTCTCTCATGGTCTCTCTCACGAGCGCCCAAGTGTATAGGCAATGCTCTGAATTGACGAGAAGGCTCGACCGCGGCCGAGCACCCCAGCAGCTGACCCCTGCTGCACTGCACTGCGTAGCTAAAGTTGATCGACCCGAGGAGCGCAGCTAATTTGGTTTGTACTACCGCAGCGCGTTCAATTTGGTGACAACTCTTCCTATTCAAAAAAAAATATTCAGGTGTCCGTACCACAATGGAGAGGATGGCAGTGCTCGTTCTGGCTCTGTGTTGGCTCGGATTACTCCTTTCTCCAGGAACGAAAGCAGCTGAGGATGACCACATGCCTCATGACAACAATCAGACGACCGATGGCGTTCAGTCATTGTGTCAGGCGCTGGATCCATCCCCGCAGGTGCAGCCGTTCGTAGAGGAGCTCACTCAGCCTCCGGTCATAGACATCTCCACTGGCCAGCAGCTCACTCTTGGAGTCTATAAAATCAAACAGGTCTGTTCTTCCAGCCCAGCTCAGTCCATTCCATTCTATTGCATTCACGGTTGCCGTCATTGATCCATGTTCGAATCGTCAATAGTTCGTTAGTTCCTTCATTCGTTCGTTAGTTAGTTCGTTCGCCACCCTCCGACTGTCTCCAGTTGCATAAGACGTGGCGAAGGCATTGAACATCGGGGCTGGGAATTACTCGCTCTGGGAATGAGGGAATTCGAGCGAGCTGAGCTAGTTCGAATGTTGCCTTCGGAAGCTCGATTCTGAGCTGACTCGAAACGTCGAGTCTGAATTCAACGGTCGCTGACGAGCTTCTCGTGCCGGTGCAGAAATTCCATCCCGACCTGCCGGAGACGACTCTGTACGCGTACGGCACGAGCCAGGAGACGGCGTCGACGCCAGGCCCGACGTTGTTGGCCACCCGGGGCATCGAGTCGTACGTGCGATGGGAGAACCACCTCAACGACTCGGAGCATTTCCTGACGGTCGACCACAGCATCCACTGGGCCAATCCGAAATCCGGCGGAGTGCCCATCGTCACGCACTTGCACGGCGGCGAGGTTCTGTCGGAGTCCGACGGGTACCCGGACGCCTGGTACACCAGCGCCGGCGAACTGGGTCCGGCCTTCACCACGCAGAACTACACGTACGCCAACTCCCAGCCCGCGGCGCTACTGTGGTACCACGACCACACGGTGGGCATCACGCGGCTCAACATGCTGGCCGGCATGAACGGCATGTACCTGATCAAGTCGCCCGGCGAGGAGCCCGAGAACCTGCCGGCCGGCGAGTTTGAGAGGCTCATCGTCGTCCAGGACAAGCAGTTCCATGCCGACGGCGCCGTCAACTTCCCCACGGTTGGGGTGTCGCCCGGCGTGCACCCGAACTGGTGCCCGGAGTACTACGGCGACACCATCATCCTCAACGGCAAGGCCTGGCCCGTCATGACCGTGTACCCGACCATGTACCGCTTCCGCATGGTGAACGCCGCCAACGCGCGCTACTTCGTCATGACGCTGAGCGACCCCAAGCTGCGCTTCTACCAGATCGGCACCGACGGCGGCTACCTGCACAAGCGCATGAAGCTCACCACGTTGACCATGGGCCCCGCCGAGCGCCTCGACTTCCTCATCGACTTCTCCAAGGTCACCCCCGGCTCCGTCGCCTACCTCAACAACTCCGGCAACGCGCCGTACCCGGACGGCGACCCGGCCGTCGGCTTAGCCACGGTGATGATGAAGTTTAACGTGGTCGCTGCGCCAGAGAACGTAACCGTGCCGCAGTTCGACCTGCCGGCGTCGCAGGTGCTGGGCCCGCGGGTGAGGATCAGCACGGAGGGCGCCGTGGTGAGGAGCATGACGCTGTCGGAGTACGACGACGGCAACGACAACCCCACGGGATCGCTGCTGAACGGGCTCAGGTGGCGCGACCCGCTGACGGAGACGCCGGAGCTGAACGCGACGGAGGTGTGGGAGATCATCAACCTGACGGAGGACGCGCACCCCATCCACCTCCACCTGATCTCCTTCCGCGTCAAGAGCCAGCAGGCCTTCGACGCCGTAAGGCAGGCCAACTACAACTGCTCCTTCTTCGTGCCGTTCCCCGACCCGCAGAGCTGCTTCACGGAGGCGCCGCAGAAGCCCGAGCTGCACCACCGCGGTTGGAAGGACACGGCCACCGTGTACCCCGGCAAGGTGACCGTGTTCGTGGTGCGGTGGGCGACGCAGTCGGGCGAGCAGTTCTCGTTCGACGCCACCAGCGGACCCGGTTACGTCTGGCACTGCCACATTCTGGACCACGAGGACAACGACATGATGCGGCCTCTGAAGATGATGGCCGCCAATTCTTCCCAGCTTCCATAGATCTGAGCATTTTGCCCCGCCCATGTTCGATCCGACCATGTCTCTTTTGTAGCCTGTCTGTACAGCGAGCGCGTGTGTGAGAGAGATTCAAAAGGCGATGCAGCCCCTAGGCCAAGAAGCCTCGGACCAGAAGTAGGATTTTGAGGACGAAGAGAGCGAAGAGCAGATGATATCAAATGGTGAGGGTCCGTGAGGACCGTAGGAACAAGGGGAGAAAATCAGTGCCTTCCCGCGAAGGAAAGCACAAGACAGATCGGGAAGTGAGAAGAGGTGAGATTGTCATTGTCCATAGTACACCTGAAGAAAACTAAACAGTTCTTGTACTTTGATGCGAAATTTATGTATAGTGAGCCATGGTTTAATTGAAAAAGTGCCCCCAGTATACAATAAAACATTTGTTTCCTCAAAAGTTTTCTTCAGTGTCCTTCTCAAAGGGGAGATTCGTATACGTGCATGATTTCGAGCTCTTATGGGCTAAGCTTTGTACCATAATCATCCATTCTTTACGAAATTCGTCGAACGTCGAAGTCAATATTCTTATTTCAGGGATCACTGGAAGCTCGGGTCCTTATTCAGATGTCAAGCTATTGCAAATTCGTCATCATACGAACTGGTTATCAGACACTAACATCGATAACAGTGTCTAAGTCAGAGGCATGTCTTGGAACGTCTACGTCGGTCGAACCATTGCACTGCTTACATTCGGTCCTATGCCAATTAACTAACTAATCTCTAGCAGAGTCTTGAATGCTGCTCATTCCTCGTGAGCTTTCTCACACAACCGTCGACTGACAGGTTGCTGCCTTAATTGCGAGTCAGAACAGAACAGTTGTAGTATTAGTCACAGCAGCGCCCCCATCACCCGTTTCTCAAAGCGCAGAACAGGAGAGAATGTTCCAACGGCAGTGCATAGTGAAATTTTCTGATTCTCCATTCAAAAAAAACTTCTCCGGACATTTGCTGTGAAAATAGGGAACAGCCCACTGACTAAAACTCGGCAGTCTGCGCACAACAACGCACGGAATCTCTTCTGAGTACAACGTATTACTCGTCACTCAGATCAAGTGTCCGAAACAGATACATGGTCTCGAGAAGAAACGTCCTCGTCCAGCACCTATGAAAAGGATTCTAGTTGTCAGTTAGCTTCCCAGTGAAGTTAAATCTTCATGGACGAGCGGCTTCAAGGGCCCAGCAACTTTACTGCTTCGGTTGGTGCTGTCCTGGCTGAAAAGTGAGTGGAGTTCGTCATTCGTGAAATTCTGAATCCACGTTCGGCCTAGATCCACAAAGTTTTCCGCAGAAAGCTGTGGTAACATCTTCTTCAGAGGCCAGTGGATGATGAGAGCAGAAGAAGATCGATGAACAAAGAAATGATCTTGTTTTCAAGGTAGCCGAGCACAGAAATCTTCTGGGTTTCATGGTTGAGAGAAGAAGAAAGATTCAAAATCGGAGAATCGTTGTCATGATGCTCCGATTTTGAATCATTCTTTTCCTCTCAACCATGACAACAATTCGTGAAAAGTCAGAGGCTGTAGTGCAGTTGCTATCTTAAATATCTCTCCTCAAATCCAGGAAGGCCATGGTCCTCTTGCATTGACCTCCAACTCACCTGGCTTAGAATTCCCTCGTGAGACATAGGAAACATGATTTCTTGCTAGTTCGTAACTTCTGTTTCTGGTCCACGTGACGAGTCTCGTGTAAGCTTGAGTCGCAAAATAATCCCCCTGATCGAGGACCCTTTATGAGAGGTTTCAATGTTAGTACAGCACGTGGAAAGCTGTCATAAGTGTGAGCTGCGTGTTCAAGTCTACCCCACAGAAGATTGAGCTGTCGTATTGCACTTTGCAACCCATGAATTCACATCAAAGCACACCACTCCACTCCATGACACAAAGCTGCGCGGAACATATCGAACAGTTTCAGGCACCAAACTTCATCTCCAGCACGCCTTCTTCGCTAACTTCGACCTCACAGTTCTGCAGCCATAAATTCAGTCCGCCACGGCCCTTGTCTAATTGCCATCCTAATTTTCTGTGAAGGATTTCTCTGTATAATTTCCATCTTTTCCAAAATTTGCCTCATTCCGCTTGCATTGTCCTTCCATTTACCGAAGGCAACCGGGTCCGGAGCACATCCTCGACGAGGGTAGTCGGTTTCCAACGAGCTAGCCCGAGAGTCAACACCACTCCAGTTCCGTCCACGTGCTATATCCTGATTGCAACCGGGTTGTGCAAAATGCCTACTTCACTGGCATTGGTCGTGCTGAAGAAGCTCCTAAATTGTGAATAAAAAGGTATTTATGTGACGCTCGAATTGCACAGGGCAGTAATCCAAGAATTTTTCTAAGCAAGATTATTTTGTAAGGTCTCAATCCATCTTAGGAGGAAGGCCGCCTATGGCAAATTATATTTTCTTAGAGAATGAGCCCACTGCATACTGGCAATTACGGTGGTAGCATCACTGTCACGTATAAGTTAATGAAGTGGAGTGTGTAGAGTGGGTTGCAATTTAATGTTGTAATTTCCATGGATTCGTTCTATGGATTCTTTCCGAGCTCATCTGCATAATTCATAACTCATCTTTTCTTAATGAAAGTGTATAATACTAATTTTGTTGCTAAAATTTCTTCCTCTGTATCCCTCGATCGAGGTTGAGTTTCTTGTATCCGAAACAACACTTTGGATTTTATAGAGGATCTTGAGTTTCTCGTGCGCATGTTGTTGTCTTATTTCTTTCAAGGTTCCATACAAACACTCATGCTCATGTCTCTTGGTCTCCTAAGTTGGAATTTGGGCTATTATAAATTACGCTTGGGCAAACAAAATCCTCAATGTCTTGAGTGAGCATATCATCGGATCGCCGGCTCTGCGAACTTGACTCATCTCCCGTACTCGATGTCAGGGGACATGAACTGGGATTGCACAAGATTAACAAAGAGCTTGTTGCATCAAGCAAGATCAAATCCAATGCAGACGTACGTAGCAAGCCGAGCCTTGGATGCATCAGTACGTTAAGGTTTCTTAGAACTTTTTTTCTGCATGACAGGCTCTTCGATTACACGAGGACTTGATGCATTTCGAGCCCACTGCTTCAGCGTTGTCTCTAATGAATTTCCTTTTCTCTTGTTGTTCGGGAACTGACAACCATCGTGAGGCCGGTATCCTCGACTACAGAAGCTAATCAATCGCCCAGGGGCAAAGAATTTTGCTTTCTGAGTTGGGATTTCTGAATCAAATGTCTACAACCACAACTAGAACTGCTTCCGGTAACTTAAAGCTCGAAAATGAATCGATTTCGGGCGAAGGGCGTCCATTAAGTTCAAGTTAGTGAATGTGACGTCTTGCAGACAAAAGATATTGCGCATTGATTGGAAATTCAGAAGGTTAAATTTGTTACTCAATTTCTTTTAACACTTCCTCGTGTTGAAACGGCCACCATTGTTATTTTCTTAGGGCCTATATGGATAATAAACGTTGCAGTGCGTGTCCCTAGCATGGGAGATTCTTACCTCTAGTTTATGGAAACAAAAGATTGTAAGCCAACTGCACTTCTTAAGATTGTGGCTTGAAGTGCGGAGCAGAGAAGTTAATTACCGAGGTGAACTCTTCTAGTGCAAGCAAGAACTAATTGGCGTAATTCAGGCAATGGGCTCGGGAAATGTACCCAACCCAAACCAGTTGAGGTTGCTGATGACGGTTTCAGAGGCATATGAGATCAGGCATCGCGGTACTGTATTTATGTTCAAACATTTTGAGTACCATAATAATCTGGAGGATTTGGAGGATTTGTTTGATTGTGTATAAGATAACCACATAGATCTCAAATTGGCTTTACATTTTAATTAAACTAGAGAGCTTTTCGATTGTGGAAAGTACTATGTTCTGTTACTGATTTGTTTGTGGGCTTGAAAATAATAATAAAAAAAAATAAAAAAAGTTATTAGTGATGAGAGTAAACCATATCAGTGAGTGAAATCATATCAGTCCTTGTCACTCTTGTTGTATTATCGTGAAGCAAAACAATTATAGTATGATCCTGTATCCTGCCTGTAGTTTTTTACATCCATCCTGGCAGATATGTCCTACGGTGTGGTTGCACTAGGAAGAATAAGGCCACCATTGTCTCACGACCTCCGTGTATCACAATTTGCTCACGTCAGATCCTCTTTTCGAAACGACATGCGACTTCGAAATTCCGGTTAGTGAAGAGCTTTCTTGATCGTCCTACGACAGTCCATATTTAAGACTAAAGAACTTCAGAGGTTTAGAACAGACAGAAACTCTCCTCTTCGTTCTCCCGCTTCCCTCTTAAACTTGTAAACACACAACATAGATTAATAGCACAACATGGCGGGCCAAACATCCCTAGCCGACAGCCAGCACTATATTCAGGCCGAAGTTCACGTTTTACGTCAGGTCGACACCATAGAATTAGAATGAACCCCGAATTGCGGGTATAACGCAACCAACTGACTCTTCGACAACTTCCAACAGACGGCCTATTTTCAGGCTCACGTACAAACATCCATCAGTAGGTAGACAACCAGAAGACATTGTTGCCCTCTCCCACTATTCATGTCGCCAAAGATTCTCACTGGTGGAACTTTCCGCCAGCTCAGTAGCAGTCGACCTAAAACCTAATGGCCCATCAAAGCTGCTTGATTTGAAGAAGTGCGCCAAGCAAATCCATGATGTGCAATTCACCATCGCACAAAACTCCGAATATTACTCGGCAGAACAATAGAGACATTCGACAGATGACAACATCCACCTATTTACACGATGACTGAACCCCGACTGACTGTAAACAGAAGTGAGTGTCGCAAGAAAAAGCCCTTTCAGTGCTCAACACAATGGATTCAAACGTTTTTAGGATGTTTAGGACAACATCAACATCAGTCTCGCGACAGCTCATGACTATTAAACAAACAATGGATATGTAGCTTCGACATTTTCACGGTGGACACTCTGGGCGACCAACAGGGCCACACATATACAACCATCGACAAAACTTCGGGGCTCATTTTGTAATTCAGAAACAGTTCCGTGTTTGATGTCCAGATCCGGTGGTCGGTCGACAGTCTTATTAATAATTTGTACCTAAATGTCAAAGCCTTTCAGCCTTCACTCCCACCATCTCTGAGGGGCTTGGGGGACTCGAACAGAGTCTCAACAGATGATTGTCAAAAATACTAGATATTGCTCTTACAGAACTGCACAATCTGCGCAGTTCTCTTGGCTTCAGATGATTCAATCACAGCTTGAGACCTAAAGAAAAGGAATATATTTAGCTTCCACTGTGATAATCAACATCATTCGAGATAATTCACTGCAGAATTTCTACAGACCTCCGGAATTGCCCAGGGTAGGCACTCCATTCTATGGTAAATAGATAGAGAGTTTTGACGAAGTGCCGACGGTGGGTGACTCAAACTTCGTATCAAGAATCCCAAGCCTCTCTTCGACAATCCGAGTAAAGAGATAATCAGCACTCAACTCATTGCTAAGAGAGCATGTGTTGTAACTAGAGACAACTGTACCACATGCACCAAATCATGAGATAGATGGTTTCGAGCAAAATCACGCAACAGGAACGATGCTTTCTTCAGTTCACGATATCCGAGACAACCCTTCTCGACTTGATAGGGGCCCACTTCCACCTCTTGTAGTAAACTGCTTGCAGAAGAGCAAGAGAAAGGGCAAAAATCCACTTGAAGCCCATCTACACATTCGCCACAACGATAGAGTGACATCAAATATAATTCTGACAAGAAACAAGGCATCACAAGATTGACATTAACTAGAGTGTGAGGCCGACAAATTGTAGTTTACCAACACCAATTTGTTGTTGAATTGAACAACAAACCAACCAAATTTCACCGTCTCAACAGTTCAGAAACTTTAACTGTGAGACGAATCCGCTGTCATGAAATCAAGAAGTAGCGCGTCATAAATGGGGACATGAGTGGCATAACGACACTTGTCATCCAAATGCCCGAGACATACTTTTCTGTTCGAACTAAGCCAGGACTTACCAGCTTGCGCTCGTCCATTTCCGGTTCTGCTGCCCAAGACAAAAAGGTCACGACATCCTTCGCCATCTGCTCAAAACAAAGCCAACTTAGATTTACTCATTGATATTACACAGGTGTACAAAGACGTTGCTGACGTTAGAAATATTGGGATGAAATTCTGGGAGAATTGACAGCCCGCTAATAAACCAGTGACATTAGTGACTTATCATTTCAAGTATTTACCTGAGACTCCGTTGCGGCAGTACCATCTTCGTACTCCACTCCTCCGTCTGTAAGCATCTTGGGCATCGCAATGGCGCCTCCTGGGAAGTAAGGGTTGTAGTGCAAACCTTCCCTCACCTGCGTACGACGCAGTCAGAAAATGACAAACTAGAAAATGGCAGAAGAAAACCAAGAACGATGCTCCCCGACAGTGGTAAGTACCAAAGTTGATGCAATAGCACAGTAGAATAAAAACTTGAACCAGCAGAGTGAAATGACTTACAGAGACTCCCGCTGGAGGCTCACGGTATCCAGTCAGTAAGGCAAAAACGTAGTTTTGACCGTTGTGACGGGCCTGCATACGTCACAGAGACGGAATCCTCAATGATTTTATAAAAAGCTTCAATACAACAATACTCACTGAACAGCAACATCCCTCGAAATAAAACCAAAAAAAAGTGTTCATGTGATTTCATTCATGCCTCTGTTTATCGGACCCCGTAAGGACACATTTAAACAGATACGTAAATGACAACCTAATTCGAGTCAGGAGACAGCCTGAAGGGAGTTATGTACCAGTCAGCCTTGCAGCAAAATTGACCCCTAACTGTGGCGTACAGTACTAATGTCCTGATGCCCTGAGTTATTTTATATTCCTTCGAGAAAAATCGTGAACATCCTCACTTACTGATGATTAGCAAACCCATCTCTCTCAGTTTTGGACTTTTTGTAGACATTTGCCTCTGAACACATGATTAGAGACAGAGAACCACAAGAATTATGAGTGTGAAATGTACCTTCGTGATCAAACTCAAGTCTGGGGGGTATGCACCACCATTCGCAAATCGTGCTGCGTTCTCGTTGGCATAGGGCTTTTGGAAGTGGTCACTGGGCTTCCCAGGGCGTTGGAACATCTCACCCTCATCGTTGGGTCCATCCTCTACTTCGATTTCGGCAGCCAAGCACTTAACCTCATCCTCCGTGTATGCTACACCAATCAAATCACGGTATGCGACCAAGGACATACTGTGGCATGCTGCACAAACCTGCTGATATACCTGATGACCACGGCGAATTCTGCCACATCGACCGATTTGATTAACAAATGGTTGCACCCATTCTTACCAACCAATTCATAGGATAATCTACATATTTATCCTCTAGACGTGGCTTCACTCGTTATTGCTAGTATGGTAAAATCGTCTACAGAATACATGTGAAAACAACTGCAACCTGGCTCAAAAGATAGTAACATTCAGTCCGGTCCTTACGAGGCATGGTCGTAGGAGCTCATGATGCCGTTGTGGGGCCATGGGTAATCTGGTGAAGCGAGTCCGTGCTCTGCCTCATCAGCGTAAACTACACCGGTGAATCCCAAAAGACCGGTGACTCCTGCCCCAACTAGAGCTGCAGCTCTTCCAACTTTGCTTGCCGTGCTCTCCCTTTCCGTGTTTCCTTCCTTCGCCGCCAAAGCCTGAACTGCTGGGTTTGGCTGTCCACACACGGGTTTAGCTCACATTACTACAGTGCATTTACTACAGATGGATGGTCCCGCCTGAAGTGGCAAAGCATTTCTCACAAGCATGCACCAACAACAGCAGGTAATGTGATCTTCAGCTACTTGGGACTATCAGTGAAGTATAACCAGCTCATGCACGTAATTCTATAACCTCATGATTCTCCACATCCCATATTTCCAACGTTCAGAAATGTAACCCGATCTAACACACGACTAACAAACACGAGGCAAGACTGTGGAACCAAGGCTGGGCGCAACAGTTAGATTAGCAGATGCGGGACATGCTTTTAAGGCCATTCAAAACAATTCAAAAACTAAGAACCGCCTTATGTCACATTACTCATACCAGCCGTCAATTCGAGTATTACAGTGACCTCGGTCCGAAATGTGTTCGACAGCACTAAAAGGTTTTCCCTGAGACCCCAAAAAAAAATAAACATTTCCATGTGTTCTCAAGCTGAAACCGGAAACCGGAAGCGATAACAGATCATGGGTCCGATGAGAAATCCACCCTTTCGGTCAGCTAGATCCTCAATCTGCTATTCAGATGGACAACTGAATACTGTTTGAAGAGTTCACAAGATGTGAATCTGCTCACTGCAACAGAATGTAACTCGACACCTTGTTGAATATAATTTCTTAGCTTTCCTTTGAACGAAAAATTTTGATTAAACATTTAAAATAACTTCAAAATCTCAAGGCCACTATTTACACAATCGGGCTGAAAGGGCAACAAGTCCACAACATCCACGGAAGTCAGAACCCGTGCATAGTGATAAGAATACTAAGAAAACAGAACAGCTATCGGCAACAGAAAATACACACAAGTCCATAATTTGACAAACTAGACTTTCTTGAGACGGGCATCACTAACTTTTTCCAACCCCGTCTATTTCGACCTGATTGATAACGGCCAGCAGTGGTTTCTTGCCCCCATCAGCGAAATTCCCTAAATCTGTGGGCCAGATAGTATGAGCAGCCAGACAGTCACACATACGATTCCTCACCGTGAAGCTACATGCGTGTCGGAATTCAAGAGAGTGGAGGTGAGCACAAGTGAAATCGTCCACCGTGAGCACCGAACGCAGGAGAACACAACGACAATCAAAACTAGGTCAACGGAGGACACAAAGACGAGGTTCGGACAACTGGCAATACTGCGAGAGGGGCGCGTGAATCACTCCTTGAATTCCGAAAAGCGGAGCAGACTACATCGGAAAGCAGATCCTCGCGAAACCAACAATGACGCCCGGAGAAAGAACAGGAATCCAAATCCCAGCAAGCTAATCCCACCCGGCAGATCGCAATCTCAAAAAAGACCGTCGCTCGGGCAATCAATCCCGCATCACCCAACAAACATCAAACGAACCAGTCGATCGCCCCGCCCCACCCCGTCCCGACTCGACTCAACTCGACCGCGAATCTCAAGTCGCGCACTCGTCCCTCGCGCGCACGATTCGACACCAACATCTGGCTGGTGCTCACCTGACGAGCCTCACCTGGCAAGCGGCGGCCCTCGAGTTCAGCAATCCCACGAAGCGCGACGCAGCCCTGCCCAGCGAGCCCGCCCCCCTGCTCGCCATTGTTGACAACCCACCGAACGACCACAACGACGACGACCCTCGCGTGCCCGAAGATGGTCGCTCCGCCCGCTCCTCCACTCGCTGGCTCGTGCTCGTGCTCTGCGCTGCAGCTGCTGCCTGTCCCTGGGGCTGTCTAGTCCCTTTTCCCCTTCGCCCCCGACCTCGTGCCCGACGCGACGCCCCCACGCTCTCAGTGAGTCGCAGATCGGCCTCTCAAGGATTCCTCCTTCTCCCTCGCTCCCCTTCTTCTTCCGCAGGCCTCGTCCTCTCGTCCTCTTCCTCCTCCCGCTCGCGGCCAAATTCGGCCACCCTCTCCCTCTCGCTCCTCGCTCTCTCTGGCCCGCTTCTCTCGGACCTCGCCCCTTCGACCGCACCTAGAATGCTCCTTCTATGCACCTACGTGGTCTCTTTCTCCCCAACTGCGTTCTCTGCCTGCTTCACTGCAGTGAGGAGGCCTGTGTGAAATTCTCTCTCTTCCCCTCGTACTGTACCGCGTTGGAATGGTCGACCGCACCACATCTCTGGAGGAGTTTTCTTCTCCTTTTTCCAACTAGTTATATCTTTTTAAATATTTTTAATTTTTAATTTACTTATTTTATTTTATTCTTTATTGTCATATTAGGGCGAGACGGTAATGTACTATGCGTGGTGAGTTCACGCCCTCCCTCTCTCGCTCTCTCTGTCCCGCTTCTCTTGGACCTCGCCCCTTCGACCGCACCTACAATGCCGCAACGCTCCCTCCATCTACGTGGTCACGCCCTTCCCAACTGAGTTTTCTGCCTGCTCCACTGCAGTGAGGTCCGTGTGACATTCTCTCTCTTCCCTTCGTACTGTACCGCGTTGGAATGGTCGACCGCACCACATCTCTGGAGGAGTTTTCTTCTCCTTTTTCCAACTAGTTATATCTTAGAGTGATAGAAGAAAAGAAACTGAACCGCGTAGCAGACCTGCAGAGGAAAGAGCCCGAGACATAAAAAATAATTTCCGACAATAGAACAATCCATTCCTGCCCAATTTAGGCAAACCTGTATTTTTAAAAACGGAGGTAAGGTGAAATCTCGAAGAAACCTGAGGAAAAGTAGCATCAACGAATGATAACGACGATCGTCCAACTCTAAGATATACAAAGTTGGAAAATGTGCGCGAAAAAAGACCATGTGCTGTGCATTGTGAATTCGACCGGATTCTAAGATCGTCTATCCTAATTTAATTATTTTTCTATTCTATTATGTTTTTTATTGCCATCTTAGGGCGAGACGATTATGTACTGTGCGTGGTGAGTTTACGCCCTCAAAGCTGCGGCATGAAAATGTCTATTTCTCTTGCGAGAGAGAGAGAGAGAGAGAGAGGAGTTTGATGGGTACCACGTTGATCTGATCGACCACATATGGACCGAAGATCATGTGCGTGCATAGTAAATTCGTGGGCGTTGGTCCGGATTACGAGATCGTCTATCTTAATTATGCTTTTCTTTTCTTTTCTTTTCTTTTTTATTGCCATATTAGGGCGAGACGAGAATGTACTGTGCGTAGCGAGGTCACGCCCTCGAAGCTGCGGCATGAAAATGTCTCTTTCTCTTGCGACAAAGAGAACACGTACCACCATGTACCACGTTGATTCGATCGACCACGTATGGACCGAGGTCTTGTATGTCAGCACTGGACGATTTCATGAACTGTACTGTGTCCCATGAGCTGTACACACTGAGTTCACTCGCTCAAAGTTGCACTGGTGAACGTGTCTCCCTCTCTCTCTCTCTCTCTCTCTCTCGCAGTTCGATGGGTACCACGTTGGTTTGATCGACCACGTATTTTCCAACGTTTTACATCTTAGCGTTGGACGATCGTCGTTATCATTCATTGCTCCTACTTTCCTTCAGGTTTTATTTGGGATTTCACGTTACCTCCGTTAATTAAAATACATATTTTCCTAAATTGGGCAGAAATGGATGTTATATTGTTGGATATATATATTTTGGGTCTCGGTCTCTTTCCCCTGCAGGTCTGCTACGCGGTTCAGTTTCTTTTGCTCACTCCCTTACAGTAATGGGGGAGAAATTATCTTCTCTGCTTTACAGCTGTATTGCATCGATGTGTTGCATTTCTCGTCCGATCTCTTCGGTCTGTCTCGAATCTTTGACGTGCATCCGGTTCAACTTTTCTCTACTGAAAATACTATTCCATACATTCCTGTGGCTCTGACGCTCATGGTTCTTTATTGAACCAACAATTCTGTCAGATGAATCATTAGCTATACCCTGTCGGAACAGTTTCTTTCCACATGTATCTGACATAGTTACACAGTTTACAAAACTGCATGTTTAGTTGACAATAATTTATATATATATATATATTATATGCTTTTATTCTGTCCATCTAATCTCAGTCTACATTCCCATTTATCACGTGTGATCATGATTTAGAAATAAACTATGAGAGTAAGTTGATTCAATTTAAATTTTTTCCGTATTACACTATCATGAGGCCTTTTCATATTTAAATAAAATATTTATAATTTTAGAAAAATAATATTTCAGGATTTTTTCATGAGAATCAATATTTGATGAATTAGTATATAACTGCACCCAAAAAAATTTTAAAAAAAATTTAATTTATTATGTTTACAATTCTTGCAAAAGATTGTATAGTAAAAGAATATATGTTTCATATATATAATTTCGTTTATGAACTTTATATATATATATATATATATATATATAATATTACGTGTTTATTTTATAGAATAAATTAAGTTGTTGATATATTATTATTCTGTTTTACATTATATAAAATCTATGTGTTCAAAAAATAATTCGGAAACAATATAGTTACCATATTTCCGTAACTTGAAAAAAAATTTATTGTATATATTGCTAATAATTTTTTGAGAATATAATTTCATTATATTACTGTTATTATCATTTAATTTTGATATTTCTAATATATAAATCTCTATTTTAGTAAAACTCCTAAACTAATAAAAAATATTTTTTTCAATAATAGATTTTTAATTTATTCTCATTTTATCAATTTAATAAATAAATAAAAATAAAAATATATATTTTGTCTAAATAATATTAATTAATAAATATCTATCACATTTATAAAATTCAATTTATATATTTTTAATAAAAAAATTCTAGTACATGAATCAATTGAATTTTTGAAATTGAAAGATCTCTTAAATAAGAGGTTTTTGCAAAAAAATATCGCTTTAAATTTTTAGATTAATACATTGAAAAAAATTAAAGCCAAATTACATACAAAATAGAACAATATTTCTTTATATCTTTAATACAATTTCTAAATGAGAAAAACGATCCATCAATCATAGATGTTAATTAACATATTGTGTTAAAAAAACTGAGACTTATATGTCAAAAATAGTTTAATGTAATTCAAATTACAAAATTTTGATTAGATAACTTTTGAATTTTATAGACTTAAATTTTTACAACAAAATCCTTGTAATAAAAATTTTGCAAAAATTTTGATATTTTCAATTCATCATATTTAATGATCTAAAATCTATCTATGATATTGTTATTTACTATTATGACCCCTATTTTTTTAATATATCATAAATCATTCGAAATTTTTTTATTTTATAAGAATATTTTATATTTATAAATTAATATATATATTTATTATAATATATGCAATTAATTTATATGTATAAATTTTCTGATTTATTGTTAAATAAGTTACATGTCAAAATCTAAAGAATACTTTTTGAAATTATTATTTCATCCATTTATAAAATGTGCATGATGCTCTCAAATTTTAAAAATTTACATTTGATTCATGATAATTTATTCTACAGATAATTTATTTGAATATTTTAATGAAAACAAATTTGACATGGAAATATATAATATTTAAAAGTATATTATATTATATTATTTATTTTAGTATTTATCTTAATGTTTCACAAACATACAAGTATATTACAAGATCACATTAACATGAATAGAATCATATACTATCCAAATATTTTGTTAATTATAGACATTCAAGATTTTATGACCACATTATTTGACTACAACATTTTCTTAAAGTTTTTATACATCTACTTCACATAATCATAAATTTATCATAACAGCCTTGTAATTTTTAAGAATTTAAACCGTCTATTATTGCTTTATTGCTTTGTGTGTACTTAAATAAATATCCTAATGTTTAATATACTACAAGTTTCATTTTAAATTTTCAACTATCACAAGAACTTCCATGGCTTTATGAACAACTATAAATAACAAACTTGTTGTAATCTTTCAATTATTGTTCCAACTAATAGTTAATATACATATGTAGAAAATATCATTTAAATGATTTTTTAGATTTTATTTAAATGTAAAATTGACAACCATGATAAAAGTATATCAATTAGTGCATTTTTGCAAAATTTTTTGTGAATATTACATTTTATTTATGAAAATTACATAAACTACGTATGATGAGATTAAAACTTATTCTTAAGACAAGTTTAAATACTAAGTATTTTGATGACAGTCTTTAATCTTTACATAATCTCACAACAATCTTCAAATCACTTAAAACACACATTCAGGTTTAACTTTCTAATGTCCAACTTTGACATTTAAAATATATATTTTGGATTTTTTCTAAATACATCATTATTGATATCATGCATAAACCAATTAGTAACACAATCATAATCATAATATCTATCAATGTCTTTGCATGAATGTTTTGAAAATATTATCAAAATTTAAAAAACCTTAAAGAAACTATCATTCAAAAAGAGCTCTTATTATGCAAACTTAATTCTGAATAAAAATAAAAATCTGGATCTTAACGTCTAATTTATTCAAAAAAAATGAAATTTAAATAGATTAACAAAAAAATGACATTAAAAGATATTAATCTTTGTCAAAATTGATGACAACTTAAGTAGCACATACATATTGAATCCATATTTGAATTTTGAAATTTGTAACATAAGATCTTTTATCAATACATTAATATTAAAATAAAAATTATACTATCAAGTTTTTACATTTTTTGTAATATATGATGGAAAAAATAATTGCAAATGGAGGAGGAGAAAATTGTCTTTGCAATTCTTCTATGCGTTCAAGGGGTTGTTGAAGCAGTTGTAGAAGAATTAGGGATGGTATTTCACAGTTGGGATGCAAAACAGATTTGGCGTCGAAGAAGACATCGAGAGTTTAAAGATACTGTACTTTTGGCAACATATTCAAAGCGGGAATTTGTGAGAAGATTCCAAATTTTGCCATTGACATTTGAATTTATTGTAAGATTAGTAGGTC